ACATCTCAGATGATAGAGAAGTGAACTGTGAAATTTATAATAAGAAATGAACACATTATCTAGTTTTTAAAAACTTTAAGCCAAGCTTGAGTAATATGAGATATGCAACTGATAAATTGAACAGTAATTATTTAAATAATTTAATAGATATTTAATCAGATGGGTGCCTGTAGATACAAGATCTGAAGAGCATGAAGAAAATGTAATGAAGATAATAGATATAAGAATTAATGATGAGAAGGTTAAAGATCAGAAGGTTGAAAAGAATAGAGAAGTCAGAAGTATTGGCAGCAGTACTGGTGTTGGTGATTATAGTGATAAGAAGAAACATAGTTCCAGCAATGGTGAATTCAAAAGTGTGCTAAGTCTAATTGAATTGACCAGCATACTGGTGAATCAAATAGACCAATCAGAGAACAAGAATAATTTTATATCAGAAGTTCAGATTTTCTGTTCTCTGCTTCCTGATTCAGACAGCATTATGGCTCACTGCAAACATTACACACATGATATTAATTCCAGCTTAATTCAAAAACCTATTTCATGAAGTGCTTGATCAATTTACACATTTCTGAACAAAAATCATGATTTTGTCACAAAGAAATCACATCAAGTTGACATTTTCAATAGTGGCTGGAACATCAGGCTGCCTTCTTCAGAAGTCTGGAGAGTGTGCACTGCTTATAAGCAGAAAGCTGATAAGATAAGACTATTAGCATCTGAAAAATCTGATGGAAGCAAACTGGAAGATCTAGATAATTAAGTGAATGTTTGTTTGGATAAGTATTATTCTGAGAAGAAATATATTGTGTTTAATTATAAATTTGATGACTATATTAGGTCTAGAATTACATCTTTTCCTGTTGGAGAATGGCTAATAAATGAGAGAATTGAGAAGCTCAAAATTGAATTTGAACTAACATGTCAGAAGAAGAAATTTTTTATATCAGTTCTTTATAAATGTGAAGAGGCATTAGTGTAGTTATTTAAAGATCTATATGATATTCATTCTGAATGCTTGCCTCTGCAGATTATTAAGACAGAGTCTTATGAAGCTTGGCAGACTAAGACTTATCAAATTTCTCATACTCTACATGATAAGCTAATTAAAATCATTCAGAACAGATTAGAAGCTAAAATATTAAAGCCTTGCCATAGTTTATATACTAACTCCTATTTTCTGGCTGCAAAGAAACAGAAAGATGAATATTGTTTAGTTAATGCAGTACATATGTACAACAAAGTTACTATTTGAGATGCTTTTATTTCTTCTAATATTGATGAATATGCTGAAGACTTTAGTGAACTTGTTATGGCTAGTCTATACAACTTGTTCTCTAAATATGATAATTTTTTATTAGCCAAAGAGAGCAGAAATATAACAGCTATTGCAACTTCTATTGAGCTCTTTCATCATATAACTTTAGTTCAAGAGGCAACAAATTCACCAGCTCAAGCCCAACATGAGATAATAAAGATTATACAAGAAGTTTTTCCAGAGATTGATTGAGCCTTTATAGATGATCTTGAAGTAAAGAGATTGTGTGTTAAAGATGAAACTGAAGTTCTCTCAGAAATAAGAAGATTTGTTTATGATTATCTGCAGAATCTGAACTATATTCTATAACTTGTTGAAATCTCTGAAGCTAGAATCTCTGATGCCAAATCTCAATTCTGCATGTCTGAAGTTAATGTTATTGAATGGATTTGTAACTATAATAGATAATGATCTGAGGAAACTAAGATGGCTAAAATTTCAAATTAGCCTACTTCTACAAGTGTTACAGAATTATGAGAATTTCTAGAGCTTGCTGGATATTTCTGAATACTTATAGAGCATTACAGTTAGATAATTAAATCTTTACATTATCTGCTTTAATGAAACATTATATAGTTATGAACTGAAGAGCAAAATGACATCTTTATGCTTTTGAAGAAAAAGTTATATTCATTCTCTATTGTTCTTTCAATTAATTATAGATAAGATTCTTTGCTTATTACTGTGGCTGTTGATGCCAGTGGATTAGAATGAGAAGAATGTATTATTCAGAAGCAACAAGAGACTCAACATTCTGTATAATATGAATCTGGAGTATGGAATGATTCAGAGAAAACATATGATACTGGCAAATGAGAATGCAAAGCTGTTTTGAAAGTCTTCAAGAAATTCTGATATCATATCTATAGAGTACTCTTTATCTTAGAAATTGATGCAAAAACTCTTGTCACCCAACTTAATAGAACTGCTACAGATGTTCCAGAAGCTTTAGTTACTAATTAAATAGCTTGAATATGTCTCTTTGACTTTACTGTTAAATATGTTTCTGGAATGAAACACACAGCTGCTGATGAACTGTCTTGCTGAGAACTAGATACTGGAGAATAATCTGAATCTGAAAAAGATAAAGATCTGTTTGTCTTTATGGATTCTATAAGAGTTTTAGCTGGCCAAGCTCTCAATAGTGAAGATCTTAGGATACTGGACTCCACATATTCAGAAGAATTGGAGAAAATTGCACAATATCTAATTACTCTATCAAAACTATTAGGCATGGAAGAAAAGAAGTATGTAAGATTCTGAAAGAAAGCAATTAAATATGTAATGGAGACTGATCAACTATTTAGATGAGCAGAATCTGATGTATCTCTAAGATGTGTTGTGAACAATAAAGAACAATGTGAACAAATTTTACACATGATGCATGATAAAGTTGACCATAAAGAGCAAGAGAGAATATACTCTATCTTACAAGCTTGATACTGATGATCAGAGATGTATAAAGATATGTCTGCTTATATGAAGTACTGTTCTTAATGTTAACAAAGAGATTTGTAAAGATTAAGTAAAGAGCTTCATTCTATCTGAACTTCTATCTGTTGAGAGAAAGTTGGAGTAGATATCAAATACATGTCTTTCTGTTGAGAATGAAATTATTTGGTTATTGCAAGATGTGACTTTACTGAATGAGTGAAAGCTAGAGCATTGAAGAAGGGAACAGCTGAAGCTGTGGCCAAATTTCTTTATGAGAATATTATCTGTTGATGGGGCCTGCCTGCCAAATTTGTTATAGATAGAGGATCAGAGAATAAGAATGTTGTGGAGATCTTACTGAAGAAATTCAACATCAAATATATTGTTATTTTACTCTATAATTCTTCTGCAAATGATATGGTGAAAGTTGGTCATAAGTCTTTGACTGATGAATTAGCTAAAGCCATTAATAATACTAAAAGAGATTGAATTAAACATCTTCCTGTAATTCTGATGGTAAATCAAATAATGACTAAGGCTAGTACTAGTATCTTCTCTTATAGATTACTAATGGGCCAGGAGGTAGTTCTTCTAGTTAAACTTGAGATTTCTACTTGATAAACAATTTCATAATGAAATATCTGAATGACTGAAGATCTTCTTCTAATGTATGCATGCCAAATTAAATAATAAGATAAGAATGTTCTGAAAGCAGCACATCATCAGCTCTGAATGTGCACTAAGAATAAGAAATACTTTAATAATATCTATAATATTTGGACCAACTCTCTTCAATCCAGAGACCTTGTCTTGCTTCACAATATTAAAGAAGAACAGAATATATCTAGAAACAACATCCTGCACTTTTAATGACTAGAATTCTATAGAGTTAAGTTCACTAATCAAGAACTAGATTCCTATCATCTTGAAGAGTTAGACAGCACTGAAATCAAAGAATCTATTGCAGAAAGCAGATTAAAGAAGTATCTTATAAGATCTGAAATGAAGCAGCTTAGTAATAGTCCAGCAGATTCAGATAAAGAGATGGAGAATGTTTCTTAAAGATATGTCACAAGAAGCCAGTCTAATATTCTCTCTAGCAGTTTCTCAGATGTTAGCTCCTTGGATAGAGGGAATGATCAAGATCAGAATGAGAGCAAAAATAAAAATAATCAAGAAGAAATGAAGCAAATGTGATTACTAACTGTTATATCAGATGACTGAAGCTTTGCTGTTATTATATCTTCACAAGATGTTTAATTTGTTATGTTTTGTTTGCAAAAGTAAAGTTTTTGCTTGCTCTTTTAGAAGGTTTCTTTTTATAGATTCAACATTTTCAATACTTCTTCTTGCCTTCTATTTTGTTATTCTGACATTTGCAATTCTTTTTGGATTACTGATATTCTTTAAAATGACTGGATGAAGTAACTTGCCTTCTCTAGCTTCTGCACCTGAAAATCAAGATCTGGTTGTTACCAGAGACAGTGGAGTCAATCTGAATGACCATTTCTTCAATAATCTAACAGCAGCTATAGAATACATTGATAATAAAGCTCTGCACTGTTGCTATGGCCTACAGATTGAGCTAATAAATATACTGATGTGAGTGACTGATGTAGTTACTGACTTAGTGGCCCATTTCTATTGATATATTGAAAGATCCAGAGCTTGACAACATGTTATACATGTCAATTTTGAAGCTGATTTCCATGATGCTTGAAAGATTACCCTGAATGTTGAATGATATTGCATTGATATGCAAAAAATCAAGGATAGACTTGTTGCTACATGGGGTATTGACAGAATTAATATCATATGGTCAAAAGTGGAGAGTCTGTGGGCAGCACAAAAGCTTTGCCATACTCTAAATGTTTACAAGAATTGGGATAAGTTCACCAATAATATTAACAGTACAGTGCTCTGAAGACTAGATGCTACAGAAGCTGGACATTGCTGAAGCTTAGCTATATTATCAGGTAATTATACTACAGCTGATAAAGAAGTTGACTGTATATATGAACTTCCTTCAAGAGATATCCTATACTGATGGGGCCTTATTATTGACAACTATAGTCTTCTACAGCTGTTGACTCTTCCACAGTCATCTAGCTTCCAATGTTCAATTCAGAATATTGCTAGAAGTTCTTCCACTGCAAGCAGTCTCTGAGATCTACTGGAAGAACTACAGTCTTCAAGATTATCAAGAGATGTTCCAATAAGTGAAATGTCTATGCCATATAGCTGCAACATGTCAGAAGCCTCTATATATAGCACAATATTGATTAGATCACATGGATTTGAAACTGGCCAATTACAGCTACCATTTGGATTCACCAGCATGCTGGCCAATTTATCCAGCCAATCAGAAGCTCTGAAGTGCTACAGTAAAAGAATTGCAGCCATGTCAGCACACTAAATTCCCCAAGACTTAGATGATAATGATGAGTCTGTTATTTCTCCTGAAAGTAATGAAGAGATATCTCAACACAAGTGTGAAGAATCTGTCATGACAGTATGCTCTGGTACTTGCTATTGCTGTAGATTTGAACAGCAACTTCTGCAAAAGATAAAGAGTATTAAAATATATTCAGAATTGAAGCTTATTTATATTCTGGAGCAATTAGAAAAGGCATTTAGTAATAAGAAAGCTGATATCTATTGAAGCAGGGTACAATGGGATGCCTTGTCAAAGTAGGTAAGTTGGTTGAGATGGTGAGAGTGCAAGAAGGATGAAAAATCACAACATAGTAAGAATGGTAATGGCTGAGTAGTAAGAACAGAGAAGCATGCCTTAATGGATGCCTAAGCTCATAAGAAATAATAGTACTAAAGAGCCTATACTAACACAGGCAGCTCTAATGAGAAACAGTGGCAAGCTTCATAAACAAGAGATCTTCATATTCTCTAACTAATAACCAAACTAGCAATAAAGAATGAGTGTGTGGAAAAGTACAAAGATGCACAAAGATATTGAGCAAGATGCAGGGGCTATGGATGGTTTATATAGCTCAGAGATAGTAGCTGAGAGGGTTTTGTGCCTTGGACCAGAACAATCTTTGTCCTAATATGGTACCAGAATCCCCACTACATTTTCTTCTGGCTTTCAATGTTGGCATCCTCTGACAACAGGCAACATATGAAACAAAACAAAGGCAATTTAGTAAAGAAAATAAGAGGCTAAGAATTAGTAACAATCTGGTAAGAAAAGAGATAGGAAATAAGAATAAAGAGAGTGACAGCAGCAATCCCTAATAGTAATCACCATAATTCTCTTCTTCCACCAAGTTCTCAGGAGAAGGAGAAGACTGAACTGATACTGGATTAATGTTGTTGTGCATGCAATGCCAATAGAATTTGTTACCAAAAGCTTTCTTTTCAATTTGGTATGTCTTGACAATGGCATTCAAAGCAATTCATGTGGTCTTTAAACACCAGTTATTAATGAAGTTCTGAGTCTTCTTTTTTTCTGGTCCAAAGAGGGTATCAAGCTCCTCAATCACTATAGAGTTGTTCTATCTAATTCAGCCTATCAAGATATCTGATATAGCTTCTAAGCCTTGCAATTGAATAGCAGTAGGGAATCAATATAAAACTGATGCATAACAGTTTGAATGGCTGGAAGGTGATGATAGCTCTGGAACTAGATTTCTATATGCAGCAGAGAGCTGTGACCAGGTACCAGCTTCATTAACTTCAAGATGTTCATGATCCTTCTGGATTACCACATACCAGGGTAGCATAGTACACCAGACCTTTTTGCATGGACTGTGAGCTCCATGGGGCAGCAGAGGGCTTGTAATTCAGATATTACCAGATTTGCAAATGATGTCAGTCCATCTAATACCAAATTTTCTTTCATCATCTTGAGTATACATTGTATCCTTAATGTGGTGAATATAGCCATCAGTGGATAAGCCTCATTCTTCAACTAGTTCTTACCAATTCTCTAGATGGTTATGCATTCCTGGCAAGATTTCTGTGCAGTCACTGGGCTCTTCTGCCATTAAGATCAAGAATTCTTGTATCATGTTAATGCTCCTTCTAGTAGTAATAGCATCTGGAACATTGATATTAATATGGCAAAATCCAGTTTTATCCCCTGGCTTAGCATACTTGATGTAATATGGATAGGAGATTAATTTTCAAGCATGGTCAGGTCTTGTCAGCACATACTATAGGTAGTATACAGGGTCCTGGCATATGAGTTGTTGGCCAATACTGTAGTACATTGTTCTCAACCATCCATAATTGTCACAACCTCCCATTATTTACTGATGATGGTAGTACATATCATATTCATTATTGATCTGAGTGAGTACTGTGGTGGTGGTACCTTGTAACCTATTGTTCCACCAGCACATTAGCTGGAGAATAACAACAGATTCAGTGGTCTCCCATTCCTTCTGAAGATTGCTGGTGGTGAACTTGTTAACTCCAGTGATCCATGTGTATCAGTTAAAGTCAAACATTCTCATGTTTGTGACCAGAGAGATAATTGGCTGATGTTTGACAAGTCTATTCTTGATCTTTTGCATATTAATGCAACATTGTTTGACATCCAGGGTAACCTTTCAAGCATCATGGAAATTGGCTTTGAAATTAGTGTGTGTAATGTGTTGCCAAGCTCTGGATCTTTCAACATATTGATAGAAATGGGCCACTAAGTCAGTAATCATGTCAGTCACTTGCATCAGTGCATTCATTAGCTTGATCTGTAGGCCATAGTGATGGTGTGGAGCTTGGTTATTAATGTATTCCATAGCTGCTGTTAGGTTATTGAAGAAATGGCCATCCAGATTGACTCTACTGTCTCTGGTAACAACCAGGCCTTGGTTTTCAGGTGCAGGGGCTAGAGGAGGCAAGTTGCTTCATCCAGCCATTTTGAAGAATATCAGTGATCCAAAAAGAATTGCAAATGTCAGAATAACAAAATAGAAGGCAAGAAGAAGTGTTAAAAATGTTGAATCTGTGAAAAAAATCAAGCTTGAATATAAAAGACAGTAGAAGCTTCAGGAAAGAAAAATCAGTCTTTAAATATTTTCTGAAAAATTCAGAAAAAGTGAAGGCTTCTGCAAATAACAAAGAAAGAGAAACTTCTCAAATAAGCAAGCAAAAACTTCACTTTGCAGGCAAATAAAAGAAATCTTCCAAAAGAGCAAGCAAAAACTTCACTTTTGCAAACAAAACACAACAAATTAAACATCTTGTGGAGGTATAACAACAGCAAAGCTCCAGTCATCTGATATAATAGTTGGTAATTGTGTTTGCTCCATTTCTTCTTGGTCATTTTCATTTTTGCTCTCATTCTGATCTTGGTTATCCCCTCTATTCAAGGAGCTAACATTCAAGGAACTGCTAGAGGAAATATTAGACTGGCTTCTTGTGGCATATTTTTGAGAAATATTCTCCATCTCTTCATCTGAATCTGCTGGACTATCACTAAGCTGCTTCATTCCAGATCTCATAAGGTACTTCTTTAATCTGCTTCCTGCAATAGATTCTTTGATTTCAGTGCCATCTAACTCTTCAAGATGATAGGAATCTAGTTCTTGATTGACAGACTTAACTCTATAGAATTCTAGCCATTAAAAGTACAGGGTGTTGTTTCTAGATATATTCTGTTCTTCTTTGGTATTGTGAAGCAAGACAAGGTCTCCAGATTAAAGAGAGTTGGTCCAAATATTATGAGTATCATTAAAGTATTTCTTATTCTTAGCACACATTCAGAGCTGATAATGTGCTGCTTTCAGGACATTCTCATCTTATCATTCAATTTGGTATGCATGCATCAGAAGAAGATCTTTAGTTATTCAGACATTTCACCATGAAATTGTTTGTCAAGTGAAAATCTTGAGTTCAACTGGAAGAACTGCCTTCTGACTCATTAGCAATCTATAAGAGGAGATACCAGTACTAGTCTTAGTTATCATTCAATTCACCATCAGAATTACAGGAAGATGTTTAATCTAATCTCTTCCAGTACTATTGGTGGCTTTAGCTAATTCATCAGCCAAAGGCTTATAACCAACTTCCACCATACTATTTACAGGAGAATTATAGGGTGAAATAACAATGCATTTGATGTTGAATTTCTTCAGTAAGGTCTCCACAACATTCTTATTCTCTGGTCCTCCATCCATAACAAATTTGGCAGGCAGGCCCCATTGACAGATGATATTCTCATAAAGAAATTTGGCTATAGCTTCAGCTGTTGCCTTCTTCAATGCTCTAGCTTTCATCTATTCAGTAAAGTCACATCTTGCAACAACCAAATAATTTTGTTCTTAATAGAAAGGCATGTGTTTGATATCCACCCCAACTTTCTCTCAACAGATAGAAGCCCAGATAGGATGAAGCTCTTCACTTAATTTTTGCAAATCTCTTTATTAACATTGAGAACAGTGCTTCACATAAGCAGACATATCTTTATACATCTCTGACCACCAGTATTGAGCTTGTAAGGTAGAGTATGTTCCCTCTCACTCTTTATGGTCAAATTTGTCATGCATCATGTGTAAAATTTGTTTGCATTGTTCTTTGTTGTCCATGATATATCTTAGAGACATATCAGATTCCACTCATCTAAATAGTTGATTGGCCTCCACCACATATTTAATTGCTTTCTTTTGGAATCTCACATACTCTTTTCCTTCTATGTTCAATGGTTTTGATAGGGTGGTTAGGTATCATGCAATTTTCTCCAATTCTTCTGAATATGTGGAGTCCAGTATTCTAAGGTCTTCACTATTGAGAGCTTGACCAGCTAAAACTCTTATAGAATTCATAAAGGCAAACAGATCTTTATCTTCTTCAGATTCAGGTTGTTCTCCAGTATCTAGTTCTCAGCAAGACAGTTCATCAGCAGCTGTGTGTTTTGTTCCAGAAACATGTTTAACAGTAAAGTCAAAGAGGTGTATTCAAGCTATCTAATTAGTAATCAAAGCTTCTGGAACATCTGTAGCAGTTCTATTAAGTTGGGTGACAAGAGTTTTTGCATCAATTTTCAAGGTAAAGAATACTCTATAGATATGGTGTCAGAATTTCTTGAAGACTTTCAAAACAGCTCTGCATTCTCATTTGCCAGCATCATATGTTTTCTCTGAATCATTCCATACCCTGGATTCATACTATATGAAATGTTGAGCCCCTCATTGCTCCTGAATAATGCATTCTCCTCATTTTAATTCACTGGCATCAACAGTCACAGTAATAAGCAAAGAATCTTGTCCATAATTGATTGAAAGAACAATAGAAAATGAACATAACTTTTCCTTTAAAAGTATAAAGATATTATTTTGCTCTTCAGTTCATGACCATATAATATTTTGTTGAAGCAGATAATGTAAAGATTTGATTATTCAACTGTAATGCTCTATAAGTATTTGAAAATATCCAGCAAGCCCTAGAAATCCTCATAATTCTGTAACACTTGTAGAAGTAGGCCAATTTGCAATTTTAGCCACCTTAGTTTTCTCAGGTCATTGTCTGTTATAGTTGCAGATCTATTCAACAACATTGACTCCAGACATGCAGAATTGAGATTTGGCACCAGAGATTCTAGCTCCAGAGATTTTAACAAGCTATAGAATATAGTCCAGATTCTGCAGATGATCATAAATAAATCTTCTTATTTCTGGAAGAACTTCAGTTTCATCTTTGATACACAATCTCTTTACTTCAAGATCATCCATAAAGACTCAAGCAATCTCTGGAAAAACTTCTTATATAATCTTCATTATCCCATGTTGGACTTGAGCTGGTGAATTTGTTGCCCCTTGAATTAAAGTTGTATAGCAAAAGAGCTCAATAGGAGTTGCAATGGCTGTTATATTCCTGCTCTCTTCAGCTAATGGAAAATTATTGTATCCAGAGAACAAGTCATAT